TCACGTGGCACCGAGAACCTCATCAAGGCAATGAAGGAAGCAAAACTCACCAAGTTCTCTATTGTCATGTCTTCGTTCTTGTGGCGTTCCCTGGACGAGGTGCCCGCTGTATTCCATCGTCTGAACGAGGAACATAAGCGCATGCTGGACTTGACAAAAGCCTCGGAACTGGAATGGATTGCTATTCTGCCACCGCACATTGCTGATGAACCCGCCAGCGGGTACACCGTGGCTTATGATGAGGCACCAGGACGCCTAGTTTCCAAATACGATCTGGGAAAGTTCATTGTTGATAGCCTGGACCAGCCCGAGCATTATGGGAAAGTTTGCGGCATTGGCAAAAAGCCAAAAGCGGCATAAGCCATTTCATCTCAATCGATAAATTCAGACTCATCAATTATCAAAATCAAAACCGACTGCTGGGCATATAAATGAGAATATTCAAATTCAAGTCTGTTATGGTCAAAGTAACCATCTATATACGTACATACCTATATGTAATGTGAGCGAGCGCACAATAAAACTTTCCATTTTAGAGAAGAGTTGAATAATTCAATTGAAATTACGTGCAATATCGTATCAGTTGGCAACCGACGCTTAGAATTTCGAAACATTAGCACCTGTCGCATTAAACGCCAGGCAGGTATTTAAAAAATGTGTAATACCATAAAAGAAACCCCCCCGTAGAGCCCCGGGCCAAAACAGCTTCCGCTTTCAGAGAAATGCCAAAAACAAATTGGCGCACGACACACTAAGAGAAAGAGAGCTAGAGAGAGAGAGCAGTTTTCTGGCAGCCGAGATCTCTCTTTGCCCCTTACATCATGCTGGTGTTTATTTTTGTGTAAGAATTTTTCATGACGCTCGCTGGGCAGCCGAACGACATGCTAGTAGCGAGCCCCCGTCAAATATAGCTGCACACAAAAATAACAACACACCAGCCAAGACATCAATTTATAGATGTCGCAACCGTGAACTTGAACTTGTCAGTTCTGATGTGCATATGGATGGTGGATAACATACAGAATTCATTATGCAGGCAGATGGATGTTTCCGCCTCAAGACTGAGACTTCCGACCAGGAACAGATTTGAGCTATTTTAGACATTTACAATTTGCTACGTACATATCTTTATTATAAGTTATTGCCTTTGTTTGGTGCTTAATGCTAGGGCTCGATATGTTTCTATGCTATGTTTCGTTTGGAAGATACTTGACAGATATCCTTATTATTATCATGGGCAGGTAGATATTTGTCTAGAAAGCATTTATGCGGCACACGCTTGAGCAAAACTATTAACACATCATCATAAGATTACACAATCACAAATATATAATTTAGGATTAGGATAACAATTTTTTGAACCAATATAGGAAAAGAAATACAAAAAAAAAAAAACACCAACAAATCCCGGTTGACTTTTGTCATACAAAAAGAACCAAAAAGTTTACAAAATACACGCGGAAAGTATTATTTAAAAATCAACACAAGCGTATCATGAATGAATATTGCTTATCGGTGTAATGGAATCAAAAGCTTATGCTGCAGCCTACCAATGCGCGTAAGTGTGGCATTGTGGCACATTCTCCTAATTCCCCTAAATTGGCAAAATGCGATCAGACTACGTGCACAGCTGCTGGCAGGGGGAAACGGAACCTTTTACCATTTTACTTTGACTAGTTAACGGCCACGGGTTGCTGCTGCTGTTCCTGCTCTGCACTGTTCAACGTAGCTATTCTCACTACTACTACTGGCGTTGATGTCTATAAGACCTTCTTCATGTATTTCTTTTTGGCATTTTGTAAGCTGGGCAACTCGCAGTGACGCGGCCCGTACATGGACACGGGCGCACAATATTCATAGCCGATGCGCTCGTAGAAGCCATCCTGATCGATGGTTGACAGGTAGATTGTCTTCAGGTCCAGCACAACGCGACAATAGTCCTCGGCAAACTTCATGATCAGCTTGCCAAATCCCTGACCCCGGTAGCTCTTGTCCACGACAACACTCTCCACAAAGCAGGCCTTCTTCTTCGCCGTAATGGGGCTGAGCTTGAGGTGAGCTATCACTCGGCACAAGCCCTCTGTGGTGAGGACCAAACTGCATGGCAATGTGTCGCAGGAAGCCTCCAGGGATCTCATTCGCGCCGTCTCGGATCTGGGCCATTCGGAGTTGATCAGAGCACAGGTTTCCTTCATCAGCTCCGGATAGTTGTGTATCGGCACCACATTGAACGGGCTGCCAGTAACGTTGAACGGTGGAAGCCCCTGCAAGTACAATAGAGTTAGTATATCCGATACACTTGGCTACACAGTGGGTGCTGTATTAGATTCGGTGCTGCTGATCGATCGTTTACTTCATAATACGGCTCCGGTTTTATGTAGCGCATATCGCTGAAACTGACAATGAGACTGGGCTGGGCCGGACCTACTGTCGTTGTGCCCGCTTAAGGTATGAAAAATCTAGAAAAGAATAGAACAGAATTGTTTCTTTTCGCTGGCCAACTTTTAGCACACTGAACATATTTGTGGAATAATTTACACAGGAAATACAAATACATATGGCACTGGGTAGGACAAGATCAGAAAAAAAAACATTAATGCATGCCGCAGCAGATTACCCCCTAGTTCCTCCCCACTACAGGGCTCGTGGATAAATTGCTGGCATTGGCGGCGCAGGACTACGAGTAGGAACTTGGAATAATCAGCATCAAAGAATACAAAATGTATTGCCACTGAAACAGCACACACACACACACACACGCATCGTATGTACATACATGTCTACACAATATTGTCGAGAATCAAGGTGAGGCGTAAAAAAAAGAACGTTCTCTCATACATCTACACGTCGAGAGTATGTGCGTCGCGGCATTGACTGGCCGCCTACAAAAACATATATACACATGTACACAAATATATGGAATCAACTAATAATAATGGATTGTGTGCTGTGCAGATGATCAAGGCTATGGCTGAGGCTGTGGCGCCAAGAGTCGCCAATGTACAAATGAAGTGCAAGGGGGGAAGTGCCTGCCTCCCAACCGGGGCACGCACCAGTACACACTTGTACACTTTGTTTAACAATTGTTATTGATTTTATGATAGGTTACCATTGCGAGAGCTCGTCGCTGCTGTGCCTTTGATTCCTCCCGTGCGCCACGACGAAGTGAACAGAACAAACTGATATGATTCCCAATATTGAGGATGAAATGGGCCAAGTTCTGCTGACCGTTTATAGAGCGTGAGCGGCACAATATTATATATGAGTGCTGTTGTTGGTTTTGCTTTGCTTGTTTTTGAAGCAACAACAATCTCTCGGGTGCTGTGTGATTCGCTCGGCGAGACAGCTGTTTGACCAAAATATGTGCGTGTGGCACGGGTAGTAATTTGCGCGCCCGGAAAATTGAATATCAGTTTGATTTAAAACGGAATGTTTTTATTTTTAAACTTATTTATGTATATATATACGCGCTTGTTATGTGTACACGCTGATCTGGCCACACCAATGAATTGATACCAATTACTTATCGATACAAAAGTAGTGTTGGGAAGCGAATGCCGTAATAATACAAAAAAAAATAACTTACAGCATAAACAAAATCGAGTCGAAACAAAAACAGAGCGTTGGACTTGTTTGTTGTTTGTTGTGTGTAGAGTGCATACGGATGGGCATGGAGCGTGCAGGTCGCAAACACATTATAATCCCCTGCTTGATGATTCACTTACAATAATATCGCGGAGTTTTTTAAGAGCGGAGCAGGCAATTTCCTCTACACGACAGCGGGACTAAATTATTTATTACACAACAAATAAATCAAAAAAAAAAAAAGCATCAGCGCATTGCTAACGTGTAAAAGTGGCAGCGTTCTGCTAAAAATAGGTTGTAAACAAACCGAGAAATAGGAAAGAAGCGCGCGCACAGCGTCATTGACCCACTAAATTGCCTTTGTCATTGCCAACCTCGTCGCCGGCTAAAGAACGCGCAAAACCAAACCAAAGCGAAGACAAGTGCAAGAGTCGTTTGCAGTAGCAGTAGCAGTAGCACGTGCAGTTGGCAGCCATGGCGAACCGACAAATGGCACAAGCCAATGCCAATGCGCCCGAGAACCATCTGCGGCTATCCTGGCATGACACCCAGATGATGGCCACACTGAGCCCACAGACTGTCATGGACTACTTCTGTCGCAAGTCCAATCCGTTCTATGATCATTTGTGCAACAACGAGACGATACGGATGCAGCGTCTGGGACCCGAGCACTTGCAGTAAGTCAGCGACAAATCTGTGATTTCCACCACTAAATCTAACTTTATTTGCAGCAACATGATTGGACTTGAGTACATTTTGCTGCATGTGGCGGAGCCTATTTTGTATGTGATACGCAAACAGCATCGTCACAATCCCTCGGAAGCGACACCCATTGCCGACTACTACATAATTGGAGGCACTGTTTACAAGGCGCCCGACTTGGCAAACGTCATCAATGCACGCATAGTAAGTAGAAATCCACTTGAGAGAGACCCACGACTAAGGTTTTGCCTTTGCTTTCAGCTCAACACAGTCGTTAATCTGCAGTCTGCTTTCGAGGAGGCCAGCAGTTATGCACGATATCATCCCAACAAGGGATACACCTGGGATTTTTCCTCAAACAAAGTTTGTAAGTAACAATTATCAATATTTTTGTTCCCGCTTTAATGCATCGTTTTTCTGCAGTGTCCGACAAATCCAAGGCGGATAAAAAAGACGCCAGTGCTGTGAAGGATGAGAATAGCGGCACTCTGTTCCAGAAGCAACGTGTGGACATGTTGCTGGCTGAATTATTGCGCAAATTTCCACCGCCCATTCCTCCCATGCTGCAGAATCTCCAGCAGCAGCCCTCGGCAGTAGGGGATGAGATGACGCCCGGCGGTATCAATGCAACCGAAATGAACAATGCCACGGGGCCGCTGGACATCAAAACAGAGGGTGTGGACATGAAGCCTCCACCCGAAAAGAAGTCCAAGTGATTATGTTAGTGTGTATTTTTGTCGACGGTTGTGTGGAGAAGTAAAGTACACTGGAACTTAGGTCTAGCTAGGATAGAGTATAGACAAAATGTTTGATTTAATCCTCAGCACTCGGTGCTTCATATTTAGCGGCGACCTTCTGGGTCTGACTCTTCGAGTGCATCGTCATGCAGTGATTGGTGTACTCCAGTATACTCTTGAACGATTGCTTGCAGATGTTGCATGGCACAGTCTTTGTGGGTGTACGATAAACACCAGCATGAGCCACGTTCTTTGGAACCTTTTTTACGGACGGTGGTCCCATCTTTTGGCCTCCATAAGATCCAGCTAATGGGGAAGACAAATCAGAGTTAGAACAGCCGGAAACTGCTCTTGGATCAGCGCAACTTACCCTTCCCAATTGGTGTTGTAGCTTTTGGAATTTGCGACTTGTGTGCACTCAATACTGATGGACCAGCACCACCAGCAACAGCTATTTTCGGTAGCTGCGCCTTCTTCACATGATTGAGTTCTGTAAACTCCAGCTTGCGCTTTTCAGCTGGCGGAATCTTGTCACAATTCTGCATCAGATGAATGTGCAAAGCACGCTCCAGGGCGAAGTTCTTGTCGCAAAACTTGCACCGATTCTTGCTCGCAGCGGCACTTGCCCCAATCGGATGATTGGCGTTCAGTCTCTTGAGGGGCTTGGGTCCATTCTCGACCAAGTCGTGCATGCGAACATGCATATCGTGCAGGCTCTTCACACGAAAAGTGACCCCGCAAGTGCTGCAGTTAAAGACAACATCGTGAGCGTTCTTAGTTGGCGGCTTCGCAGCGACTGGTATGACTTTTTTGGTCGAACTGATCCCTGTGGTGGAGATCGACTTGCGCGAAACGCCAGTTTTGTTCTTGGCTACGGGCAAAACGCTGCGTCGGCTCACTGGTAGTCCGCCGCCTGCGCCCATCTTGCGGGAGGGACTGTTTAGCGTAGTCTTCACGATCACGGACATGCGTTGCTTGAAGGAGTAGGTGCGTGTCTCGACAGCGGCTGTCGGCATATACGAGCGGCGTGGACGCGCCAGCGCCCCAGAAGCTTTGGGGAGTAGCGATACTCGCTTCTTATTGATTTCGAAAGTGTTTGGCTTCGAGGTCGACGGCTGCATGGCTTCGCTGGATATCTTCAGAGCTTTGGCTAGCAGCTCAGAGACTTCGTTGACAACACCAGCGACTGCCGGAGCCTCTTCTATAGCCGGAGAACACGCGAGAATCGAAGATTCCTCATTGGACACTGAAAAACGGAGAGATTACAGCTGGGAATGGGACTAAGCCAAGACTCACCTTCAGTTATGTTCTCTAGGACCACATTGTCACTCAGTGGATACACGTTATTGAGGGTATTCGGCTTTGAAACCTCCTTCATTGAGACTTCATCCGTGGTGGAATCTTCGGTCTTCAAAGTATTAAATTTTACGGTGGTGCCCGTCAGTTCCAAGGAACTGGAAATTGTCGAATTATCGCCAGCTGCATTCTCGTCGGGCAATGTGTTCTCCTTGTTCTCGGCATTTTCCACTTCAAGAGGGGTTTCTGCTGCTACAATTTTATTTGAGGGAGTGGAACTCAAAGCGTTGTGCTTGTACAACAAGCTGTGGTCAAATGGTTTCAATGGCGAGTTTGACTCCGATTGAATGTGCGCCGATTGGTGCAGATCCTGGAGTACTGCACGTTTCACATCCTTGTCCTCCATAGTCTTGTCCAAATTGGTTTCCATCTTGGAGCTGTGCACCTCCATATACTGACTGTTGTGGCTGACCAATGCAGATTGCCATTTGCTGCCACCGGACAGCGTGTCGTCGGCATCGAAGGACAAGTACATGGAAATACTTTCCTCGTTGGCCGCAATCGAGCGGCGTGAGTCGTCCATAGCTGTCCTGGTTATTTAGTTTCGTTTGGTTGATAATTTGCCTAATTGGCTACTCAAAATAAATTAGATTTGTCACAAACAATGAAGATAAATTTAATTGAACGCCAGAACCGACGCTGTACCCAAAAACAAAGCGCTAATATTTAAAAAAAGATTTTCCAACACTGCGACTCGCCGGCGTTCTAGTTAAATTGTCGGCTTCGAGAAAAATTTCACAAATATTTCAAATTTCCTTTGGTTATTTACAGACACGACACAACGACCAACAGAATTCGACTAAAATATAGTCAATTTTTCGGCACTTCCCTTTTTCGGAGCCTGCTGTGAATAATTATATTATCTCACTTTTGGGATGCTGAATAGAAACTATCGCCGTTTGATTTATCGGTATATTTCTGCGGCCTGGGCAGTGTGACAGTATATAAAAATATCGCTCCGTTTTGATCGATATCACCTATATGGATACATCGATAATATCAACAATCATAGTATATACAAATTTATTCGCGTACGAAAAAATCTAATTTGCCAAAATCAAAAGACCTACATACTACTATTGCTGAATTTATAAACAAGTTCCTGTAAGTCCAAAAACGAGCTTCAACCTTCGCCTCAACTCACCAAATATCTTAGCACCAATACAGACACAGTCCACACAAGCATCCGGGTATTTTGATTGTGACTCACTGGAACAGATTTCCCCCCAAACACTAGCCGACGTCGGAGTCGCACCCACTTGTTAAGTCATCAAATCAGTGTGAGATAATCTAAAGAGCCTAGAAATGGCTGCTGTGGAGAACGAACCGCGAACCGAGCTCCAGGAGCTGCAGCTGAAGTCAGCTACGGTGGCAGATGAATCACTGGAGAGCACCCGCCGTATGCTGAGTCTTATGGACGAGAGCAAGGAGGCGGGCATTCGTACCCTGGTGGCCCTGGACGATCAGGGCGAGCAGCTGGATCGCATCGAGGAGGGAATGGACCGCATCAACGCTGACATGCGAGAGGCCGAAAAGAATCTCAGCGGCATGGAGAAGTGCTGTGGCATTTGCGTGATCCCGTGGAAGAAGGTGAACATCAAGGACGACGGGGACAACGCCTGGAAGGGCAACGAAGATGGCAAAGTGGTGGCCAGTCAGCCCCAAAGAGTGATCGACGAGCGCGAGCGCGGTGGCATGGGTGCGCCGGCACAGTCCGGCTATGTAGCACGAATAACCAACGATGCACGCGAGGATGAAATGGACGAGAACCTGGGCCAAGTGAACTCAATGCTGGGCAACTTACGCAACATGGCCCTGGACATGGGCTCCGAGCTGGAGAATCAAAACAAGCAAGTCGATCGCATCAACGCCAAGGGCGATGCCAACAACATTCGCATGGACGGCGTAAACAAACGCGCAAACAATCTGCTCAAGAGTTAAATATGCACAAACAAAAAACGGACTCGTATCTCAAATCAATAACCAAGCCGATAGCCAATGTCTGAGACCCCAATCCCCCGCCCCCAGATTAATTCGACCCCGTCTTCACTTCTACCCCTGAGGGAAGAAAAGCAAATGTTATGGGCACAAAGCTGTAGCAGAGCAGTGGTTGCTAACCCGATATTTATACTATCTATTATATACATATACAAGTAGAAAAAGGAACAACTGGACTATACCATGCAAAGAAACCCATCTATACACACTATACTAGCACTCTTTTTGTACAAGCAAAACCCACTGAAGGAACCAATTACTTACGTTCGACTAACTAACTAACTACAAGTACATTTTTGTGCGGAAAGCAAAACCACCAATTACTAACTACTGTTACTATTACTATACATGTGTACAAAACAAGCAACCAGAGTCAGTGTTGCAAAGCCCAATTTTACTGAGATTTACCCAATAATGTACTCTGTTTTTTGGTACACTCACTAAACACTTTTTGAGGCATTTTACCGGAACTTGTGGAATGGAAAACCTACACACACACACACACACTATATATACATATATGTAACTGTTGAGATAAATATGAATATGATGTACGTACTATTGATGTATTTATGTAAACCCAAACTCTCGAAATCCCACCATAGGCACAGCATCTGAAGTCACTTGCTCCCAATGTGGAGGAGGATAATGAACAATTTTTAAAGGGAGTTGGTGTGGTGTCATATCGTAGCCAATTTGTTATACATTTATCTAGCCTATGGGATTCTCTGTTTATTGAAATATTTGGTCCAAAACGTTCTATTGAATGAATTACACGAATTGAGATTCGAGCTACGCGGCACTTCCGCGTTTAACAGCTTCATACGATTACATATACTATAGTTTAATTAGTTCCCATCATCGCCCAGTTTCAACCATATTAGTTTAAGTAAATGGAAATTGTTATTTTGAATTGTCTCAAGAAATGCTGAATTAATTCAAGCTACTTGCTCGTTAGCTACTTGTATGTATTATGAATGTGTGTATTGTATAACTGATTAGATAAATTATTTTATTGCTTCGTCTATTTGCCACATGGCTTAAATTCACAGCTGTTACCATTGCAATTGAAATTGAAATCAAAACTGAGTTTATTGCACTTTGCAGAAGATTTGGATTATGATTGCTTATGCCTTCCGAAAATAATTATATGTCGCTATGTAGCTGGTGAAGTTTTCGCCACAATCTTCGGCTGGGGCAAACTCAATTTCCGGCGCTGCCTCCACTGGAATGTAGACAATGCTGCCGCGCGTCAACACAATCTCTTTGGGGCCAGCACTGGTGTTCAGACGCAATGTGCGCGAACCCTCCAGTGTTATGAGTATGGAGCCGTATGGCTGAATTTGCAACTTATACGTGTCCACGGTATGCTTAATGGCCACATGAATCACCGCAAAGTCGTCCACGGGCGGGACGTACACCTGAACGTGATCGTCAATGTGATAGGGCAAGAAGAGCTTGCGGCCAGCGTCTGCGCCCTCAAAGATCACCGAGGAAATCAGCTGCTCCACATCTTTGTACTTTGGCGTGAGTCCCGCGCGTATAACATTGTCCGAGCAGGCCATGCACTCGACACAGTCGCCGTCTAGATACGCGTGAATCTCATTGGCCCCCAGATAAATGGCCTGACCCGGCTGCAAGTGGACCAGATTTAAGAAGAAAAGCGATAGCACGCCCACATCTCCAGGGAAGTCCGAGTTGACCTTATTGAAAACTTCCAGTAGCTTATTGGATTTCAGTTCTGTGTGGAAAGAGTTTACATTAGAATCTGCCAGGATTAACCGAACTACACTTACCTTTCTGATGGTTTTTGACTATATCTTTAATGCACTTGGCAACGTCAGCCTCTTCCGACTTCATCAGCTTCTCGTAGCACAGTTTGAGAGTGTCAGAATTGGGACTTAGATGCAACCTATCCACAGCTTCCTTGCCGATGAGCTTTGAAAGGGGCTGGAACTCGTCAATGAAGTCTCTAATGTCCTCGACGGGCTGGAATCCAACTAGTGCCACAAATGGTGTCAAAGCTATGGCCAGCTCTGGCTTGTGATTCGGGTCCTTGTATATCTCTGGCCGTTCCTTGTGCAAGCGCTCGGCCTCGCATTTATTTGGATGAACCTGTATGCTGAGGGCTTTGCTAATGCTCAGCACCTTGAACAGGTACGGCAAGTCCTTTTTCAGCACACGATCCAAGGTCTCGCCAGTTTCCTTGACCACGGACACTCCACAGATGTGTGTGCCCATCCACATTTCCGCATAGCTCTCCTCCTCATTCAGCCTAAAGTCCGGATCGTTGGCCATGGCCAATTGGGCGACGGCCGAGTGGATGCCATTGCGTCCCCAATCATAGTTTTTTACCCAACCTGTTAGCTCCATTCTCTCGTTCACTGTGTTTGCCACCCAAAAACTGCCGCTCAACTAAGGTCAAACCTAAAGGTGATAAGGAAACGAAACACAAACTCGCATGACATTTACTGTGGCTGCGTGGGAGCTCTGACGATTGCTGTGCAGTTCGCAAGCGATGTCATATGGCGCAGTTAGTAATTACCGGCTTATCAGGAAAGACCGAAACGTTATAAACCGATATAACAAACTTGAATTTTAGCCGAAAAAATATATTTTGTTATTGCCTTCCCACATATGTGGAATAAAGAAGGTAAACAAACCTTCTGGCAGCCCATTTATGTAAGAGTTGCCACACTACCGATAAATGATGTTATCGTAAAATCGATCGAAGTTTAAATTAAGATGTAACGTTTTTATTGTTCATAAATCCAATATACACAATTATACAATTTAAGATTTACAGACCAGTCGTTTATCGTGGATCATTTGGTTTTCGTTGTCTCATCGTCTATCCTGTCTATTACCTGCTTTAAACAGTCCTTTGTTGAAGTCTTTTCCAAATCGCAGATGCGCGTGAGGTCCATTGTTGCAATCTGCTCAATCATTTCTTTGATTTTTTCCTGCTTAATTATAGATTTTACAGACTGTCTTATTCCTGGGCGTCCGCCAGTGGCACCTGTGGTCTTTGGCGGCAGCTCCGAGGAGTCGTTTTCGATATCTTTGCCCTTGGCCCGATAGTGCTGTTCGATTATCTGGCGTATCTTCAGTTTGGTGGCCGCTCGCGATGTCCGTGAGGCTTGCCCCAGTGCCAGATTGCGTAGCTCCTGAAAATTGATCTCCTTAACTGGAGCATCGGGTGCGTCAGCCTCAGAATCAATGCTAGCATTGAACTCCATCGAGGTCTCTTCCACAGTAGCCACAAGGCCGTCATCATCATCCACTTCGAGAAACCTGTCATGATTGGCTTCTGCCACTTTAATTTCTTTGGGTATCTCCACTATAGGCAGCGGATCTGCCACTACTGGAGTAGGCTCTAGCACTTTTGTCTTTTTTACTTTTGGTTTTGTTTTCTCTTTTAGCTTTGGCGGCGTCGTAGTTGCCTTTTTCTTGAGGATTCCGATGCAAGGCTTTGTCTTAACTCGCACCGGCAACAGTGAACTATACTGTATGCCTATGCTGTTGAAGCAATCGACAAACTCTAAGGTGTCGAAGTCATCCTGCAGCGATGCCCACAGCTCCGTATTATGTTTGTTTTTGGCTTCCACCAGCAGATGCGTATATCTGGCTATTTCCGCTTGGGTGTAATTCATCGACTCGTCCTTGCTGTAGGTCCACTCATCGCGAATCTCCATGAAGCGGGACACCCCACTTTGGGCAGCCAAGTTGGCAATGTGCACGGACACATTTGGGGAGGCGCTCTCTAGGCGATGCAGGCGAGACAGGGCTGCCCCGCCTGGATAGTTTGTGCCGGAAATGACTAGCAGGAAAACTGTCACAAAAACATTCAGTAGGAGATGACCGGCAGAACCCAGAGCCAGGCAGCTATGCCACGTTGACTTGGCACTGTTCATCCAACTGAGGAAAGAATAATGGAGATTGAGTAATCAAATAACTTCTTGGCAAGGGAACAAACTTACATGCGTTGACAGGCGCAAGCTGCAGCTATGTTCAGCACAGGGAAAACGTATATGATGAAGCGAAGCTCCTTGTGGGGAAGCACAGAGTACAGCAGCACAAAGGCCAGCGCTGACAGAGCCAAGGGACGAATTCTGCGCTCCAAGACACAGCCAATCGGTACAAAAATCAACGATGCTCCCATTGCCCGGGGCAGGGCCGAGTAGAAGTACCACAGGAACGGCGAGGTGCCCCAGTTTGAGCTCTTATTTTGTACAGTATTGTACCAGAGTACCTCACCTTCGGGCCATAACAGGCGTCGCCAGAAGAACGAGTCCACAAGCACTGAGGCGGCCAAAATGCAAACGCCCGCTGGCAAAGCAATCTTCAACAGTCTAAGAATAATGTAAATGGTTACAAATGTTTAGCTAGGGGATTAATCAACGCACCTATCAATGGACAGTCGTCGCTGCAGCAAGTTAATGGCCAGCAAAATTCCCAAAAACAGAGCCAGCTCCGATCGAAAGACGAGTATGGATATGCCAGAGCAGATAATGAATGGCTTCTGCTGGTCGCGCATCCAAAAGGCAATAGCATAGAGCACTGAAACATTAATAACTTTTAAATAATTGTACATTACGGGAGGTACTTTGAGGCACTTACCTATGGGCAAGGCGAATATGTTTGGAAGAGGACGCGTCATGTAGAACATGAAATGAAACTGCGTTATTGTTATGGCCGTGAACCAGAGACGCACCTCCACCCCATAGATCTTTGTCACAGCCTGACGCAGGTTGTTCCAGGCAACGGAAATGGCTCCAGCCAACATAAGCCGCACTGAAATATAACCGATAATTACAAGAGGCAACATTTGAATGGACAAAAAGCTTTTACCTACATATTGTGCCCAGAACTTATTGAGTCTCAGGGTCTCGAAGAGCAGCACAAATGGTGCGGACAGCATTGACACAACCAGCGGGCCAATGAATGTGCGGGGCACCACGCCAGGATACTCATGATGATCATACTGACGGATAAAAAGATAAAGTACATAAATTATTGATTGGAAGAAGGAAGTGGCTACTAGGTTCGTTTACCTGCGTGAAATTGCTGCGCAAGTATAAAATGTCATGCATGGCCTGCAAGTTGAAGCTCTCCTCCACTTTGGTGAACGGCGTGTAGACCAGATGGGCAGCCGCCGTCAGAAATACCAGCATGTCCACGGCCATCTTTGGGTGTCGTTTGTGAATCAAAAATGCTTGAAAGCTGGAGTCAACATTGGTCCATTACATAATGGCCATATTTGTGTTTATATCAATTTATATGTATAAATATTCTTGGACTTCTTATTCTGATGATTCTATCATCAACATTCACGGTACCGGCCGGTGTCGCACACTCTTTGTCTTAAATAAACTGCACTTGAACAACTATTCTGCAAGCATCCACAGATAACCCACATTTAGATACGTATATGGCTTATATGGAATATAATACGCCGTTCCAAAATAAATCGAAATAGATATATAAATAGAAATCCACGAAATCCACGACCAAAACAACAGGTGACCGCGAAATTATCGATCAAATATACCGTCAAAACCTCGAAAAAATACCGAAATATACTGTAAATCTTAAATCATTTTCCTCGATTTTGATGTTCTGTCTGATATTAATAGCTGGTTAGGGCCCTCCGCGCTAAAACTATAATTGCATCTGAATTAGCAATAAATTCTCCACAAGACTTGCTAGTTTTCATGACTTGGAATGTTTCCCAATTAAGAAATTCCTCAAGGGACATTTGAAAAACATACGTATAAGAGTATGGATACCCTATATTATTGAATATACCTTATTAATGAAATATAGTAGACGGATGAAATTCCTTAAATTTACCATTATAGTGGATTGTAGAACTCAATTCCGGAGTCAAAATATCCTGAAAAGTATTATAATATACCTTAAATGGTCAGCCCTGTTTGAGGTACAGCTGATTGCCATTCACAATGAAGTTTTTGCTATTTTCGCGAAAAAGCTGCAAACAATAGTTATCGATAGCTTGCAACTTAACTCCATTTTGGTTTTCAAATATTCAAGTCATTCTTTCTTCTTCTTGCGTCTAGAAACTTCACAGGCAAAATTACCAAAATGAAAGACCAAATGGAACTTTTTCACAAAAATATTCTGCAGAAATACGAAGGTTTAGAAGTCAATGATCTGTATGTGATTTACAAGAAACTGCAGATGCAGATGGAGCTCATCCAGGTGCAGGAAGACTACATTAAAGAGGAGTACCGCAACTTGAAGAAGGAGTTTGTACACGCCCAGGAGGAGGTGAAGCGTATTAAAGCGGTTCCCTTGGTCATTGGCCAGTTTCTGGAGCCCATTGATCACAACAATGCCATCATAGCCTCTACCACTGGCTCCAACTACTACGTCCGTGTTCTGTCCACCATTGACAGGGAGATGCTCAAGCCGTCGGCATCGGTGGCCCTGCACAAGCAGAGCAACTGTTTGGTTGATTTGGTGCCGCCAGAGGCAGACAGCACCATATCCATGCTCTCTGCGGATGAGAAGCCTGATGTAAACTACTCGGACATTGGCGGTCTCGACATGCAGAAACAGGAGATTCGCGAGGCGGTTGAGCTGCCACTCACCCATGCTCAGCTTTACAAGCAAATTGGTGGGTACCCAGTAACACAATCTATTCATCAGTTAAACTTATTGGCCACTTTTTCGTCTCAGGCATTGACCCTCCTCGTGGCGTTTTGCTCTACGGTCCGCCGGGATGCGGCAAGACTATGCTGGCCAAGGCTGTGGCCCACCACACAACCGCCAGCTTTATACGAGTTGTTGGCTCGGAGTTTGTGCAGAAGTACTTGGGCGAGGGGCCGCGTATGGTGCGTGACCTCTTCCGCCTGGCAAAGCAGAATTCGCCGTCTGTCGTCTTTATTGATGAAATCGATGCCATCGCCACGAAGCGCTTTGACGCCCAAACTGGCGCAGATCGCGAGGTTCAGCGCATTTTGCTGGAGCTGCTCAACCAAATGGACGGGTTCGATGAAACAGCCAACATCAAGGTGATTATGGCCACCAATCGCGCTGACACTCTGGATCCGGCTCTGCTCCGTCCAGGACGCATGGACCGTAAAATTGAGTTCCCCTTGCCGGATCGTCGCCAGAAGCGTTTGGTCTTCACGACCATAACCGCAAAAATGAATCTGGGGGAGGACGTGGAATTGGAGGACATGGTAGCACGTCCCGACAAGATATCCAACGCTGACATTAATGCCATTTGCCAGGAGGCAGGCATGCATGCCGTTCGTGAGAATCGCTACGTCGTCAATGCAAAGGACTTTGAGAAAGGCTACAAAGCCAGCGTGCGCAAGGATGAGGCCCAGCACGAGTTCTACAATTAAAAACCAAATGTATTAATATAAAATATAAATATATATGTATAACCATTCCTGCCGGTTTTCTGTGGCGCGGAATTTGCGATGTGTCTATCGATAGCAGCAATATTGGCGGGTGTGGGTGTGCACGCAACAATCGAATGGCAGATCAGCTGTTCTGTTTGTTCAAAATTTTGTGAATTTTGTTTTGCCGGCTCGAATTAATGGCATTTGCAATTGTTGGCGGCCAAAATGATGCACTTAGAGAGGTATGTGACGCGCATAAAGCCGGCCATCGAAGGCTTTATAAACGACCCTAGGAAAGACACGTTGTCGCTGGTGGAAAAGGAAATCGAGGGATTCAACTTTGGGGAAATGCGCATATACCAGGTTCAGACTGTGGTTCCCCTGGTGGTCAAGCTGAATGATCTTACTGGGTAAGTGGCGCGAAACATTTATATCCCTAAACATTGCCACTACTCTTTGCCGTAGGGAGAGCCAGGAGTTGCGCACCGGCCTGATGAACTGCCTGAGGAACATAGTCTCGCACACGTACCTGTCTGATGAGAAGGGGCTGCGCTCCATATTGGTAGTGGTGTTGCAGCAGATACGAGACTCCAAGGCAGCCGTGATGCGGCCGAATCTCTCTGAGGAAATTAAGCTGGCCGCAGTGCTGTGCATACACGAAGCACTTGGTCGATGCACAACGGATGTGCTTGAGGCATTCTACACCAATGAGACGGTTGTGGTCATTGGCCAGATACTGCTCACACTGCTGGAGATTATTGAGCATGAGAAATATCGCAAACTGGTTCAGTCTGCGCTGCAATGCCTGATGGTTCTCTTTTACGTACACAACGAATCGGACCGTTGCGATGTGGTGCTGCGCAGCCAGGTGGCAAATACCATATTCATTTTCCTTCCCAAGGTTCTTATTGTGCTGTTTAAAACATCTTTGAAGGATGAAAAGGTCGGAGAGACCATTAAATCGGTAAGTTTGCGCTGCCTATAAAAAACAAACTGATATTCAATTGGCTCCTCTTAGATGTCTGTTCAGGCCTTGGGCCGAATCATCTGCATTATGTTCGAAGAAACCACCGATGAGTTCAAAAAACTGCGCTACGATGTGGATGCCTTTCGAAATCTGTTCAACAACTTCAAGGACAGTCCGGCTGAGGCCTGCGAGTCCAACTATTTCGGCAACAAGAGCTCCACGGCCGAGGAGAAAGAGGAGCGCCTGCATCAAATGCAAAAGGACCGGCGCTCACTCTCTTGGGTGATGGCCACTTCGCGACGCATGCGACCTATCCTTGTGGAGACAAGCATCCTGCGTGCCCACACGGCTCTTAGTGTGCGCAGCACCTACGCTGAGATGTGCTGCCTGCTCCTCACAGATTGTGCCCACAATCTGAGAAGCAACTTTATCCATATATTGGAGAGCGTGTTGGCCCTTTCCGAGGATGACGATCGCAAGATTTCCCAGCTGTGTAAGGATACGCTTTTGCGGCTTCAGCAACAGCCCAACAGCCAGCATATATTCGATGAAAATGCCGAGCTACTGCTCGATGCCCACCTCAACAAATGGCCACGCATCCTGCATCGCTGCGAAGACAACGAGCAATTTGCGGAGCTGCTTTTCCTGAAGGGATTCCTGCGCAACGTCAATGCGGAAAAGCTGCAACTGTTTTTCCTCGTACCCAAGAACCTGGAAATGTTTGTGACATGTCTGCTGACAGCGCTCGATCTGCGCACAACCCGCGACCTACTGAACGAGGAGTACTCCCTGCGGCGCATTCAGGACGGAAAATCCAAAGAGCTGGCTGCCGAATTTGTAAAGTTGCCTTGGCGTCAGTTCAAGCATGTCAGCTCGAAGCGCACGGAGGATATTATATCTGATATTGCAGCGTTGCTAGGTGCTGAACCGGCCATAAATCGAATCATATTCGACTACTGTCAGGATCTAATTCTACAGAGATCTTCGGCCATGAATGAGTCAATTTTACTCTTAACAATGATGGTGTCGCCACAGGCAAAGACGGCACGTGAGAGTCGCCTAGTTCTGGCTGAACTTTTGCTTGAGCAACTCCTTCGCGACGAGCATTGGAGCTTGGCACTGCAGCCGGACTCGGCCTGGCGCCTCAAGGTTGACAAGGTAGGTGACAAGGTTAAGCTTTAACAATAAGAGAAACAATGACAAGTCATTTACTTCAGCCCACACAATGGTTTGAGGACCGCACGCCTGGTCTCTACTCGTCGGCTGTTGAGGTGCGCACACAAGACTGTGATTCGGATGATGAGCAGACCGAGGTTGTGCACAGCCGTGTGAGCATTGCGGATGCCCAGTTTAATGTGCTGCACACGTGCCTGATCCTGGATGCAGTGGGGCATTGCGCCAAGTTCATTGGCGACACCTTCGATCGCCATGTATTCTTGAGTTTGCACAGAGTGCTGCTGAAGTTGGCCAGCAGCAATACAATCGTTCACCATGCAGCCACATTTGCCTTTGTGTCCATGCAGCTGGCACTTAAGTACGCAGAACCCTCGCACTTCATCGAGTGCTCCACGGACTATATCACCTTTCATTTAAATTCCTTGCTCAAGAGGGTGAGTAAACGGTGGAAAATCTCCTTGAAATGTGTGTAATTTGTGGAATCTCTAGTCACCCGAGAGCACCGCCGCTGTGGACATTCTCACCGTGGTGTTACAGTATAGCAGCAGAGGCAGCGTGCCTCATCTGGACAGCATATTTCAGACAATACGCGAGGAGTGTTCCAAGTCACATCAGAAGAGCAATGTTCAGTCTTATCTGCGCGTTTTCAATGCATTCCTAAAGCATGTCACCCACTGGCATGGCGACACAACGGCCGAGATCAATGCTGAGCAGCTACCCATGCAGGTGGATGAGGATCAGAGCGTCTTGAGCACTTGGCTTCATGTGCTCGAAAAGCCACAGCTCCTTCAAGCTGAAAGCGCCGACATCAACATGGACGAACCGGTGGCGGAAGACTTGCCGGAATCCGACACAGAACCGGAACCAGTGAAGCCTGTTCTGCCGCGACATATTGAAATCATAAAGGATATTCTGGGACAAGTCATTAAGTTTGTCTCGACTGCTGAGCAGTCGCAACAGATTGTCGCGCTTGAATGTTTTGCCAGTGGTGTGCCTCT